GAGCAAGGGTGATAATTGACAATGTAATTGTTGTTGCTGGTTTGTTTACCTGCTCATCACCAATGTCTGCTGAGCAAGATACTTCAAGGAACCCTTCACAAAGGAAAGCGTCTGCAAATGCATATGTATTTTAAGAGCACAGCAATATATTTTATATCAATGGTAGGAGTTGAATGATAACATTAAAAAAGGTTTATTAAGTATTTTCCTTTTTTTAAAGGCTACTTTAGGATAACTTGCTTCAATTTAAACCATACGGCATAATCTTGGGATTTCTCCATTAATTCCCATGAAGTATATTTTCAGAATACAAGTTTTCTTCTAAATTTTAGAAGGCTTAGTTGAAGGACCTACATTTAGTGAGATGTGGTTCTCATTTGGGCCATTATTAATTCTGTCTTTTTTCAGCACTGAATATGATTAATACAATATTGAAAAAATAAAATTATTTGAAATTGCTGTTAGATGTGAGAGCTGGTAGAGATAGTCAATCTCCTGTGAACTGGGCCTGAGGCCTGCCTGAAATGCAATCTGTATCTGGCCAAATTAATGCAATCTGTATCTGGCCAAATTCATGTCACCAGGCTACCCAGCACCCCTCAAGCAAAACTGTCAGAAAATAAGGAATTAATTGTTTCACTTGGTAATTGGTCTTTAAAAACTTGTGTTTCATTTTGAATCTGAATGTGTCTGGCTTTAGATTCCTGCTATTAGTTCTTTCCTTGTGCCTGTTCCTGCTACTGCACTGATGAGGTGACCAAAGTGAGCCCTTTTCTTTTCTCTGCCCTATTTTTAAGCTGTGGGCCAAATTGCAGTTTTATCAGTGCCATGCACTGAGATTAAAAACTTCATTACTTCCTTATTTCATATCCAGGAATTACCTCTGTCCTTTTGCTGCAGTCATATACTTAGATACCTGCTAGGTTTTTACTATCTAATTTGTTACATTGACTATGAAGGTAACACTTTTGTATTCCTTACAGTGTTTCCACTTTTCATTTTCAGATGACAGCTTTTTATACAGTTTTTGCTGGATACCCCATTCTTGTCACTGTGTATCACACTGACAGTGTCATATTGCTTCAAGTTTGATTAGCATTGATTTTATATTTACTTTACAGGCCATTTAGGAAACCCAAAAGGACCTGAAGGAAACATCAGTTTTCAAAGACAACCTGTCTCACCAATAACTACTCTGAACTGCTCATCTAGTTCTTGATGCAATGAATTTGTCTTTCATTGCATAAAAAAATAATTTTTTCCCATTGTTAGCATGTGGGTACTAAGTCAAGCTCCTGAAAAAATCAGTACAGCTATGGCCTTACCTTTGAACAGCCAAAGACTGTAATGCCATCTTAGGTTTCTCTGATGAGACCTAATTTTCCATTAGATTCTGTTGACTGGCACACATAACATTTGAATGCTTCATTTAATTACTAGTTTTTCTTTTGTGTCATTACTTTTCTTTGTGTCATCATCTGCTCCTCCCCACAGCTGAAGGTGTGACTGCCATGGTGAAGATGGGTGGATCAGGGCTTTTGTGTGTACAGAAGGCTGTGCAAGCCTGCCTGCAACTGGCAATTACCATTGCCAAAGAGTAGGTCTGTGGACAGGCTGGTTGCTGTTACACAGAAGATGATTTTGACGAATAGGTGATTGAGTAAACTTTCTATGATTCCAAACAGGCCCATTTTGCTCACAGCAGCTCATTTCTATCCTCTCCTCACTGCTTAGCTGAAGCTCGGTTACGCTGGAACTGGTGGGTTTTAGGATGTCCCTGAGGAACCCTTTTGACACTCATGCTTCCTTTCTGTTTCCATTCCTTTGTAGAAGCTCTTGGAAAATCTGCTGGCTTATCAGCCAGTAAATGAAAACTTCCCTTTTGCTATTACTGCTGTGGCCCACAGTCAGCATCCTGCAAGATCTTGGCTGCACTTCTCTCCCACCCTGAGCAGAGTCTGAGGAAGCCTGCAGTGCCACTGATCTCCCCATCTCCTGCTGTACCACACAGCAGCAAGTTATTCTGGTGCAAATTCCATTCTTTATATGTCCCATTAAGTGAGTACAGCCCTGTTGGTCTGTTCTTGAACCTGCTTGCTTCTGTGTTTGAAAACATTGGCATGACTGTTTAGACAAGGTTTGCCAGTGACTGGTACTATTTTTACTTTTTTAATTTTAACCAGTTCTGCCTTCCTCTGGAATTTCCCTGGTCTGGCAATTTGAGCTTAAAATCTTCATTTCTGTGTCTTCTTCTTTTTTTTTCTTTTTTTTTTCTTTTTTTTTTTTTTTTCTTTTTTGGTCTTTTTTTAATGCTTTCATTCTTAATACTCTTATAGCATACATCTAGTAAACAGACTCCTGCAGAAGGGAAGTTTTGTCTGTTGTAACTTTGACACTTTATTACCTTTATAAGCCATTGGTTTACCCTCTCTTAGAGGGTTAGGGCCTCTCCTTTGCAGCTGGAACAATGCCTTTGCTCCTGAACGTAGAAACACCAATAGCAAGGGGTCAATTAATGGTAGAGCAGCATGTTTGCTGTTCTCAGCATACATCCAGGATGCTGCTTCTCAGGAAGGGGATCTGCCTGGATTGCATGGGGATGGTGTTCAGCATTGCTGTGCGTGTATGAAAACCATAATGCAAAGTGGCAAAGAATTCATAACTGCTTATCCTGGGGGGAAATGACATTTGCAGACAATGCTGCTTCAAGATGGAGAATTGAACTTTTAGAAAATAATACTCTTTCTCTTTACAATAAAAACTAACATTGTTCCTTGCTGGCATGGTTTCTTAGGTACAAAACAGATTCTATGTTTTATTTATTTCTATAAATCAGAAAATTTCCCTTCCCTTCCCTTTCCTTCCCTTCCCGCTTTGCTTTTCACCTTTATTCTTTCCTCTTCTTTGTCTTCTGAATCTGAATCCTTCTTTTAGACAATATTATTAAGTTCATTTTAAGTGGGTTTTTGTTGTTATTATTAGGTTGGGGTTTTTCCCCTGGTCTGATTTCTTGCCTTTTTGGACATCTTGTACTCTTATTGACATTGATGTTATACGACTGTACACAATTTGGCTAAGATTTTGTATTATGATTATTTTCCAAGGAAATCAAATAAATTCAGAACATTTTTCTGCAAGTGTATCAAATTATGCTAAGAAATATTCTCCAAAGGAAAAAAATAGAAAAAAAGACTGACATTATCTGCAAATCAACTCCTACCTTTATAATATTCAACACATAATGGTCCCAGAAATGAGTTGTGTGTTGGAAGCTTGGGGGGTGCTGTTTATGCTGTTGTAGGTTTAACCAGCTTAAGTATCTCCACTGACAGCTACTGCATTCACTTAAGTTCACAGTGGAATTAACACATTTAAAATTTTTGTAAGGAGATCTGATAATGCAAGCTGAAAGAAGAGCATTATTTTCACTTTTAGAGATGACACCACCTGTGAAATAAAACACTTGAGTAGTCTTCAGAGAAATGGTCAAAGGTCATTACCATGCATACAGTAGTACCATTTGTTTTGGTTTAATAACATACAAAGTATTGTAGTATCTTCATTAAATATAAAATACATTGAAAGGCATTTCTCATGCAGATGTGTTCAGCAACACAAATAACACAAAAGGTCTGTTACAAGTGTTTTTAGGAAGCTGTGTAAAAAGGGGAAGCAAAATAAATTGAAGATAAAAGAGCCATTCTCTTCTCAAATTCTATGAAACAAAATAAACACTTCCCAAATTAACACCATAAAAATAACTTGGTAACAGTCCCAGATAATTAAACCTTCAGATTTTACAAAGTTGTATATGAGATTGCAGTGAAACTTCAGGTAGCTCTGAGAGAATTTCTGTTCTCAGCCAGATCAGCCTTTTAGTTTTATTTAATACTGATGAGTGAAGTTTTGAAAGTACAGGACATCTCATACAACAAAATCAGTAGTCACAGAGAGAACAGAAAGGATGGAATACTGTAGTTACCTGCAGCAGTCTACTGTCAGTGGGAAATGCATTGTTTGACTCTGCACCATGGCAGAGGTTTGCTTTCCTTACCTCTGGAGGAAATGAAACCAATCAATTCGGTGTGAATTTAATACTGTTCAGTGACGAGGCTTCTTTCTCCAGGAAATCCAGTCCTTGTTCTCCTGGATGCATTCTCTGCTCTTTCCTCTTTTCTTTCTCATACAACACAGCATTAATACTGACAGAGAAAGAGGAAATCGCACTATGAAGTCTTTTCACAGCCATTATTTTTCTTACCATTAAATGATCACTAGAGAGAGGTTGCCTAGCAGTCGTTTGGATTGGTTTGTGAAGATTGCTTTTAATTGAGGAATGATACCCAGTTTTACAAGGCAGTTATCCAATTCTTATGTATGAAACTCTGCTGGACCCCTGCTAGCAAGGAACTCGACGCGAGAACGTTTTTCTCCTGCCTTTTTCTTCACCTGCTCCCACATCCGTGTTTTAAAGTACTTTATTACGGACTTTTATTTTGCAAACATTTAGAGACTAGTGTAGCTTAGTTCACAGGAACGAAAGTCACACAAAATCCGCGCCGGTGTTTATTAGGGGCTCTCTGTATCCCGGGCAGCGCTCGGCGGGTGCGTGCGCTGCAGGAGGAGCCTTGGGCACGGGATTTAGGGACAGATCCCCACGGGCGCGGGATCCCTGTCTGGCCCCGCCCCCTGCCCGCACAAGCCCCGCCCCCGGACCCGCCCAGCAGCCGCGGAGAGGGCGGGGCCTCCCGCCGCCGCCGCTTCCCCCCCTCCCATTGGCGGCGGGGGCTGCGCGTGACCGGGCGGTGCGTGACGTAGGAGGAAGAAGCCGCCATTAGGGGCAGCGGGGCCGCGGCCGCCGGGTGCGTTCGGTTGCCGTGTCCCTCTCCAGCCTCTGTCTCCGCGGCCTCACCGGTGCCTTCCCATCCCCGCCGGCACTTCCCCCCCCGCGGGCCCTCGTCCCGGTGGGCGGCGGCGGCGCCGCGGTGCGGCCCGTTGATGTGAGGCGCGGCTCGGCGGCGGGGCGCGGATGGCGGCGGGGGCCGGCGCGGCGGCCGGGGGCCGCAGCTTCTCCTTCAAGGTGGTGCTGCTCGGGGAGGGCTGCGTGGGCAAAACCTCGCTGGTGCTGCGCTACTGCGAGAACAAGTTCAACGATAAGCACATCACCACCCTGCAGGTGCGGGCCGGGCCGGGGGGCTGTGCTGGTGCTGGTGTGGGGGTCCCGCTGTTGTTCTCCCCTCACCGTGCGCCTCTCCGCGCACTGCGGGCCGTGTCTGCTCTGCCGCTTCAGGGGCAGCCCGAGGCACTGCTCGCTCGCTCATGGTGCCTGTCCCCTGCCCAGTTTGCTGGAAGCCAGTTTTCTCTTTATTTTCACGGCTCAGATTCAAGCTTTCAGTATGTTTAGGCCTCGTTTCTACTCTGCATACTAACTGCTCCGTTTTTTCCAATTACGTATATGAATGTCTTCATTTGAATCGTGGAAAGTATGATGCAAAAGTAATGTTGTTATTGTAATCGTTGTTAGCGGACTGATGACTAAGTGTTTCATACGTGCTGCGTTTATGTTAATCATGGTCTTCCTCGTGTTCTCAAATCCTAGCATTAGCACTATCTAAACGTTTCTGTTTAAGGAGAACAGCTTACACAAAATGGTTTATGAGATTAGGGCTTATGATTTAATAATGGGAAAGGTTCTTAAAGCTGAACTGCTTGTCACGACAGCTCCCTGAATTTTGGCTGGATTCTCAGTAGTACTGTCTGTTGTTATAAAGAGCTACAAAGTGATGTTCCACACATGAGATGTGACAGGCTGCCTGCTGGAAAGTAATGGGTTTTTTCATGGCCTACTAGTTAGTGATGGATGGCATGTATGCCCTGGTACGAAATGAACTGCTTGTACTCTCAGTGGTCTCAGAAAACATGTCTTGGAGTTTTTTTTGTGAGTGGTATGTTAAGTCTCGCCTTGCATAGTTGGAAGTGTGGATTCAATGTATGCCACTCTTAATATTTCTTTTTTAAAAGAAAGAAACAAACCACGTCCTTTGGTGGACCAGTAGTGGGTTTTGGACTAATTTTGAATTTCCTGAAGTACAGAACTAATAGCAGGTGGTGTTAAAAAGAAAAGAGTTTTAACGTAGTTATGTGCTATTCCCATGCATTTAGGGGAAGCTTCTTGAATTGTGTATCTCAGAAGGAATTGATAAGTGAAACTTTCCCCTAAAATGAAAGCAGCATTATACATGCACTAGAGGCAGTACAGGACATGTTTAATAAACAAATAACATAACTCCATTTTTGCTGTGAAGAGGTAAAAAGAACATGATTTAGACTTTGTTATCCTGTGTTCATACTGAGGTTTTGGGTTAAGCTGTTGGTGGGTTTGCTAGGCAAGGTATCTATAGGAAGCTAGTTGAAGCTGTCATGCCACAATTGATGCTTGGTATGCCACAGAGATACCTGGTAGCTTGTAGGTGTCAGAGGTGCAGCAGAAGTGCAGCATTGAGCAAACAGTCAGTTAAAGTGCATCAAAATGGTCACGTGTCGCTGAATTCTCATATCCCGTGTTTTAAGAGTAGGTCCAAGTAGATTGTTATGTGGTGATGCTTATGTTTGTTGTTTGGGTTTTTTTGTTCTTTAAATCTGTAGTGGAAAGCCTGAAATTATGAGCAAAAACTGGGTTGGAATACAGACTTGGGCCACAAATATCATAAAACACACTTTTAAATTGCTCCAAAATGCTGATAAGAAATGTCTGTAGATAGTGTGGCTGCAGAGCTTTTGGTTTTGCGTGTCTGCAGAGGGGTATGTTGAGGAGTGGAAGCACGTGCTTGCAGTTCCTACTGAGCTTTTGTTTCTCCACCCTAACCAGGTTTGTGGTTGCTGCCTGTGTCGTTTAACTGACTGCTCATTGTTTATCAAGTCGTTTGCTTTTCTGTTCTGAGCCTCCTTGGCCACATGTGCGTCTAACTGATGTATATGTAAAATCCAATGTCAATTGCCGTTGAATCTTGCCGTGCATCATGTGCACTTGTTAATTATTATCTTTATTATTTTTATTTCCCTACATCTTACTGTTCTGGAAAAAAAAATGAAGTGAGTTCTTCTGCTATCAAATTAAAAGATAGTTTAAAAATAACATGAAGAGAAACTAGGGTATCTGATTAAGCAGTGAAGTAACATGTTTGCAAAGCATCCTTTGTTGATTTTTTTTTTTTTTTGGGAGATAAAAGTCTTAATCTGATAAGGTTACTTTGTTTCATGGCAACAGTTCAAAGTAATGCACCAAATTCCTTTTGTTCCAGTAAAGTCAAAATTAGATAAATACTTTGCTCCTGGTCCAGCAAAGGAGTGACAATGATAAATCATATGAAGAGATCACTAGATATTGAGACAAGAGGCTCTCCATCCACAATAACTTAAAAAAGAAAGTATTGCATAGTGCTTTCTTCCAGTATGTTTGCAGCAAAAAACGGGTAGTGAGACTGTAACCTTCTGGAAACATCACCTAGTGATGTTATTCTACTGTGAAGTAATTCATTTTATACCCAGATAGGTAAGCTTCTTTGGTGCTAGTAACAGAAGACTTGGACTAAAAGGGAGCAGTTTCTCCTCCCTGCCTGCTCCCCTCTCTCAGTGCCAATGGAGTGCACTGGAACCCCCTCTGATCTAGGGGGCTGCCGGGATGTGTTGCTGCAGTTGTGTTAGTATCAATCATGTACTTAAGTTGTTTATGACCTGCCTGTTGAAGTGAAGGTAGCTACTGATTCACAGAAGAAAGCATCTACTTAGAACATTGTAGAAAAGCTGATGCAGGAAAAGTAGGGGTTTTTGCACACAATTATTATAATTCATAACTTGTAGGCAGACCTGGTGGGGCAGTTAAAATTGGTTCCCATTGTTTGAAATACTGAAGTAAGTGCCCTCATCTTCATACAGTAATTATAAAGATATAAATTGATATCAAGTGAACTGTGCTGGAATTGCTCTAATAATAAACCTACTGTCAAACTATTGGGCTTTTTAATTTGGTAAATCCTTTTTATAATTTAATTACTCAGGGTAAATACAACTTCTGAATACTGCTCTCTTAAATGTGTGGAGGATTGCAGAGTATCCAACGCAAGAGAGCTGCTGATTGCTTTGATGGACTTGGCATAACCTGGAAAAGCTGTCTTGGTTATCAGGATAGCTGGGGGGTGAGTGAAAGGCGGTGTAAGGAAGTTCAGTGCTATGTGCAGAGTTTGTATGCCTGACCTGCTTCTGTTGAACATGAAGCACTCAAGGGCGGGTGCCACACACCTGCTTTTGTTCAGTGACTTTTGGGAGACTCTCTTCCAGCTGTGTCTTCCTTGTGTTCTACTCAAGCCCCTTTTTCAGCTCCTGGCACGGCCTGGTGCACATACAAAACTGAGGTCATAGAAGAAAATTAAAAGAACGAAAATATTTCCTACAGCCACATCAAAAGATGGGAGTTTTAGCTCTTATAATTGCATTATTCTTTTCTAAGCGCCTAAGTATTTTTCAAACCAGTCATAAGACAGTAGAGTCAAAATATGAAGATTAGAAGCTTCAAAGAGTTGTTTGAAATTACTTATATTGGAATTAACCATGTTCCTGTGAGTTTTTGAAAGTCCTAGCAAAAATGAACTGTCATAGTAATTAAAGTAATATGGAGAATAGCTACTGATTGTAAATTGAGTCACAGCTCAGACTTGAGTACTTGTAGTACTCAATTCAGTAATTTTTTTGGAGATTAGAGAAAATGTTGAAGCTTTTTCTATGTGTAATTACCTAATGCCCTGTAGGTAGTCAAAGGCTTTGATTTTGAAGCTTGACAAACTTTAAAATCTTGGCAACTGACTTTTTCTCAAAAGTATCTCAAAATAGAAGCTGGGACTCTTGCTTATGTGTTGGGTTTTCCCAAATTTCTAAAAACTGCACAGTCCTGCTATTCTTTATTTTTGGTTTTTTTTTTCTCCCTCACTAACCTCAGAATGGCTTGGGGAGGGCTATATGTGAGTTGAAAGGTTAAAAGATATTAGTTGATTTGTCTTTGTGTTTTTGCCACTGTGGATGTAAAAATGTTTTATTGATAGTAAATGCACCAAACTTACCCATACCTACTAATTAATGAGCAGAGCCTGCTAACTGGATTCTTCAAGTATATGAAGACAATTAAGAAGAATGAAGAATTAAATCTGTAGTATAGTATTGATGGCTTCCTCCAGCATGTTCACAAAGCTTTCTGCTCATTACTAAACATGACTGCTTCAAATACCAAGTTCCAATCTTGTTATCAGACAAACCTGATTGTTATCAGGGTATCTGATAGAGGATACTGTCTCTCCTTTTTTGATTATGGGCCTCAGACTTTAGATAGACTAAAACTTAATCATTACAAATTCATCAAATTTTAATACAAGAGCAAGTATGATAGCCCAATGGTAAATGCCCTTGCCGCAGTCTCCTGTGGTTGTGGATGTTTTTGCAGTACAAAAAAGCATGCATGTAATAGTATTTTAGTGCTGGGCTATATAAAAAATGAAAATCTATATCTGAATGATAAAAGGCAGTATTCCTAGCAAAAGCTGTAGTACCTGAAGAACAGGTTATACTGAAGCAAAACTTACCTATGTAGATAAACCTACTTTAGTTTTTGCTTTGTCAGATAGGAGATATACTTGTGATATTAACTGGGTCGTTGTCTAAAGGTACAATGATATATCTTTATGGATACTGAGTTCTCTGTGTTTTTAAATGTAAATCCCCTTTCTGTGAAAGATTTTTCTGCTCAGAAATTGATTCTCAAACACTTATGTGGAATTCACATCAACTAAGCGGGTTTGGATTGTTGGTGTTATGACAAAAGCAAACATTGCTCAGATGAGCTTTTCCTTTGAGATTTGCTGTAGCATATTGAGTACTATAGTACAGCAGATCAATAAAATATTGTCAGGTAAGCTTGATTCATTGTGCCTACAATAGCTTCTCTCCCTGTGGCCCAAGTGTTGGTGAATTAAAACTTCTGACGTTGCCTCCAAGCTTCTGGCTTTTAAACTGTGGTGTAACACAACAAGTGATGACTACTGATGAGTTAATCCTCAGGGACAGCTGTTTGAAAGCCATCAACTACCTTCTCTAGGGTTTTTAATTAAAGAATGAAAAGTTTTCTGATGTTGAAGATTCGTTACTCTTCTGTTAAGCTGTTTGTTCCAGGTTGCTTAGAGGGCCAAATCCATTTAATGTGCTGTCTGGAAATTTTCCAGACTTTTGACATTACAGTGAGTCTCCTCACTGCAAGACTGAGAGGGTAGTGTAGTGATAATGCTTTAGGTATGTAGAACACAAGGGTTGTAGTGATCAGTTCTTTGCTATCTGTTCTTGGAAAGTGTTTTTCTTCTGGTTTGTTCTCTCTCTGTCTTTGTTCTTTTTATCAGACTTTGTGGAAAGGTTTGGGGGAAGGTACAACTTAAAGATGGAAAGGATTTTTTTAATCATCTCATCTTGGGTCATACAGATGCCAGGGAAGTAGCTGAAGAGCAGGAGCTGCTCCAACAACTGAATGTTGAGTGACTTAACTGTAACATAGGCAGCACTCCAGAAAGAGACTTTGACAGTGGTTTAGGCTGGTGTGCATTGAACTGCTGTGGTCTCCTGTGTGCATTCTGGTTGCTTGTGTAGTTAAGCAGCAAGCTGGTTCAAGCAGCTCATCTGGCCCATGACACTTTGCACACACGTGACTCGATTCTGTGGCTGGTCAGTGCTTGTACCAAGAACTCCTCTGGAGCTACTGCAATCCAGCCTAAGATAATCTGTGATGAATGGGTCATAAAATACCACTGAGTACTTGTTTGAACCCAAATGCAAACTGAGGTAAAACTGAAATGAAAACTCACTATAATTTAAGGCAGAAGAAAAAAGTTAGCCCTTGGTGACTGAATAACATGTTACTGCTGGTCTTCAGAATGTAGAGAGCAAGTTCCTAATGCATCAACACCTTGAGACCCTGTTCTGGTCCATTAAACTTATGTTAAATTATGTTCCCTTTTTAGCTGTCAAATTACAAACCTGGTAACAGGGGTGGTTCATGTAAGTTTGGAGGAAACTAGACCTACTCAAGTTACTGAAATTAGATTTAACCTTGCAATGTGCTCTGGTCCTGTAAAATATTTCCAGAAGTTAAAGTAGTAGAATTCTAAAGCAGCTTTTATGCTTATTCTGAGATATCTCAGCTCAAACAAACAGAAATACAGAACCAAAAAACAGATGAGGGTGAGTTGTAGGCTCACTTCAGCAAAAAAAGGGAAAAGCTACAGACAAGGAAACTTGTGAAATTCTCATGTTCCAAGATATTTACTGTTAAAATAAAACAATTGTTTATGGTTCTAGTATCTTAGTAATAGTGAACTACTTTCCTTAATTCCTACAGCTTAAAAATTCTGTTAGGCTTGTTCCTACCTGAACTTCACAGATTCTTGTGAAATGCTTTGAGTTCAGCTTAGATTTATCAGTGTTGTGAGTTCAGAGTCTTTCCACACAGCTCATCCTTCCCAAATCATTCAGAACAACTGCAAAGAGATGTAGTAAATGATTGGCTTAACTCAAATTTATTTAGAATAGTCTGCTGGCAAACTACAGTGAAATTACTAACCGGCTTAATATTGACTTAGCCTTCTTGCTTGGAGTTTTTTGATCTGGAAATTTGTCTTTTATTGATTCTGATGCTTTATTAATTATTTTCAAGTCAAATTATGTGTTTGGTGCATAAAACTTAACTCTAATCTGTTTTGCTTTCCAGGCATCTTTTCTTACGAAGAAACTGAATATTGGTGGAAAAAGAGTAAACCTTGCAATATGGGTATGTTTCTGTTTTTTTATTTCTTGGCTAATTAGAATGTTTTTCTAAAAAAAAAGATACTTGGGCTTACTATATCACAAGTGTTAAGCATTTCTTAATGAAGTATTTGGAGTTCTTTGAAGTATTGTTTGCTTTGTCGTAAATGCTAACAAGTGTATTTTGAATGCAGGATACAGCTGGGCAAGAAAGATTTCATGCATTGGGGCCTATCTACTACAGGGACTCTAATGGCGCTATTCTAGTATATGATATAACAGATGAAGACTCTTTTCAAAAGGTACTGGGCAGCTTTTACATCTGAACTGTGAACTGCTTGAAAGCTAATGTGTGATTTGTGTAAACAGAACTCTTCTGTTTTCAGCAATATATATAATATTTGCAAATGTAGATCATGTAATGGAAGTATACAGTTTATTGGTGTTCTTTTGAAGACTGCCTTCCCTGCTATCAGGTTATTCAAAGAACACCAAAGCATTACCTCAGTTTCTTGGAGCGCAGTGCAAATAATGCCAAAGTTGTGGGTTTGATCCCTGTATGGGCCATTCATTCAACAATTGCGCTTCATGATCCTTGTGGATCCCCTTCAGCTCAAAATAATCTGTGATGTAGCTGTGCAAGTTACCTATGACATAAACCTGGACTGTAGCTGTGCAAGTTACCTGTAAACATAAACATGGACTGTTGTCATAGTATGTCATACTGGTCTTTAGTGTATAAACCAAATTACTAGAAGATACTAAGTGACGTGACCTTTTACAGATCTGAGAACTTTGAAATTGCAATACGTGATAGTGGAGCCATTATCTCCTCTGTGATAAGTTATTTGTTGTCAAATCCTCATCAAAATTTCTAATTTGATGGCTAGTTATTTAATGGCTCTATTAGTTGATCAGTTTGATCAGGTGAGCTTTTTCCACCCTGTGTCACTCTGTGCTACCCCTCTATAGGATTTTTCAGCTGAAAACTGGTGACACTCTTTTAAGCAAGTTTGTCTCTGATTTTCAGCAAAACTAGTCAGAGTTCTGTGTAGAGAGAAGTGAAAAAGTGTGGTTGCATGGGCAGGGCTTGGGTTAGCAGTGATGGAAATAGTGTAAGGGTGCAGATCCACAACAGTTTATCTAATTTAAATAGTCTGGTATAGAGCAAGTAAAACACTTGTGCTAGCAGTTTGACATTTGTGGCCACCTGCAGAATGATGGTGACTTGTGGGTGCTACTTCAACTTGTGCCTTTTCATGCTGAGTCCTACATAGTAAAACCCTGTGATACCAAAACATTTAAATGTGCAGAAAAAGAGGGAAAGCTGATTTACAGAAGTTACTGCAGAAGTACTACTGGATCATGTAGCCTAACTTATTTTTAGATTCTTGAAGTGACTGTCTCTCTTCACAACTATTCCCTTAAAATAGCAGTTCCTAAGTCAATGCAGTGATCATACCACTTTCAAACTTTTCATGACAACAGATTTGTTAACAGATACCTTACCATCAGCTGACTCAACATGCTTGTCCCATTTGCTCTCTCATGAAATAAACATCTGTTGTAATCTAACCTGAAAAACTTACTTTAGGTGCCTCTACCTCTAAAGTACCATTTGTGGTCTGTCAGTAAGTGCCTGTTGATAAAAGATCTCATGTCTGACCTAAAGTGGCCCATGCAGTGAACTTGCTATTTTGAGTGTGGTGAGTTATATTTTTGGAGTAATTGAACCATTTTATCTAAGTAATTTGCTATTAATTTCAGCTGTGAAATAAAACCTGCTGAACAAGGGCCATATGTAGCAATCTAAATAATATTTTCTCATCTGTGTTGCTCTAAACATTTTTGTTTTAAGTTTAGAGTAGATGGTTAAGGAAATGGGGTGGTTCCACACTGCCCAAGATAATAGCATATTGAGTGAAAACAAACTCACCTCTGTTCTTTTTGCAGGTAAAAAACTGGGTTAAGGAATTAAGAAAAATGTTGGGAAATGAAATCTGTTTATGTATAGTAGGTAAGTCTTTTTCAACATGACTGAAATGGAAACATCTCTTGATCAATAGCATCTTCCAAATGCTGCTTTGACAGCTTGTGCATGTGAAGGGGTGAAGCTTATGTTAGATATTTAAAATTAAACTGGAGCTAGAAGTTTCAGTAGATCATATGGAGGAAAAGAAGAGTTTGATTGAAAAAAATAACCTGTTTAATTATACACTATTAGAAGTGCATGGTACAGATACCTGCAGACTGTAGTTTAACAAAAAAATTTACATTTTCCTTCTTTCAATTACTTTAACTCATGTCTTTTCTCAGTGACATAGACTAGATGCTTGTCTGTTTTGATAATTAAGTGCTTGCAGGTTGGAGTGAGTCTTAAATATTGGAAATTTTAATGCAAATGGAATGCAACAGAAGTGCTGGGTTTAGATTTAAATCTGATCTAATTATTAAAACACTTCCATGAGGTTACATATCTGGACATTCTACAAAAATTACCTCTGCAGCACGTGGAAGGCACTAATAAATCACAAAAAAGTGCAAAAGGCTGAATTGGGTGGAGGCATTTTGCTGTCCTGATTCCTCTACAGAACTAGCACCTTATAGCATGCAAATGCTTGGTGAAAGGAGATTCTCAAATCATAGTGTTCTTGAAAGTGAGACCTGTGTAAGAGCTGCTCTTTACTGGGACTTACTTGAGAAAATGGAATACCATGATTACATGTCTTTCTTTTTGGGTAATTTTAGAGTACAAAGACTTAAAAGATTAACTTGTTTCCAACAGGTAACAAAATAGACTTGGAAAAAGAGAGACATGTTTCAGTGCAAGAAGCAGAAATGTAAGTCACACCTATTACTAACAGAAACAGTCATTGCAGAATTATGCTGGAGTAATAAACTCGTGATGCTGTTAACATAGCAGCCAGCTAGGCACTGCTGGCTTATGCCTGCCAGTTGTTGAGTGTTCTGTTAGTGACTGAGTCACAGGGTGTCCTGGCTGGCCAAACTGTACTTTGAGAGTTGTTTGTGATTAAAGTCAACATTTACAGTTTAAATCCCTTTCTAGACATGAAGTTTTCTCAATTTCAACTAGTGTGCTGCATCAGTTGTGGCAGTTTTAAACACAACTCCTTTTTTTGTATTAAATAAGCATGTGTACATTAACTCTGAGGTCAGAATAAAACCTCTTGTGATCATCTTATTCCTTCATGTAAAGTGGCTTAGAAAGATTGAGTCCTTTACTATAATGAGGCTCCATAACTTAATTTCTACAGGTATGCTGAATCTGTTGGAGCAAAACATTATCATACGTCAGCTAAACAGAACAAAGGAATTGAAGAACTGTTTCTTGACCTTTGCAAAAGTAAGTATTATGTAGTTTGTTGGTAAGGAGCTAATTCATAAAATGCTTCAGGCTTCAGAAATGTTTTTCAGGCCATATAGAAAGTTTGAGTGGTAAGTGCTACTTGCAACTGACTTCATTTCAGTCTACTCCAAACCACTTGTGTTCTGTAACAGCTCTGGAAGCTTTGTGTATGGATGCTTACAATACTGCAAATTCCTGCTCTACTCCAAAAATGTCTTGGTCTGTTGTTGGAGCACTGACTGCTGTTCTACTTACCACGCATAAATAGTAACCCAAATCAAACTTTATGTTCCTGGTCTCACCACTGCTTGCTTTAAATCCTCTGTTTCAAACTCTTTCAAAAATTTTCTTAAATTATGTCAATTACAAATCATAAAGCTCTAACAATGCAGATTTTACGCAGAAATCTCAACAAATGGTAAAGATCATGGTATGTGGGATGAAAATCCAACATAAGCAAATCATCCTATTAGTTGTATTTATGAGATAAAAGAATTTAAGGAAGAGGTCTTGTGCATTTCTGAAGAAGTAGTTGTTTGGGGTGTTTTGGGGGGCTGGAATTTCTTGCTTGTTTGGTTGGGTTTTTTTTAACAGTGTTACTGATGAGGGTGTGTAAATCTAGCTTTTCAAGTCGCTAACTCCAGGACACCTGAGGATCACTACGGTCTCCCTTAGGTACCAGGAGCTTGTGTATGTTGGGTGCTTTAGAAAACAGATTTAATATATTCTTGCTGTTATACCATGTGATACCTGAGTACTTAGTTCTGCATAACAAATAGGAGAACCACTCTTGCTGAACTTTTCTCTCTGTGCATATAGTTCAGAGAGATTAAGATAGCAGAGTCTTAATGTAAAAGTACAATGGAATGTCATCTCATATACATCTTTCTTTACAGGAATGATAGAAACTGCTCAAGTGGATGAAAGAGCAAGAGGCAATGGCTCCAGTCAGTCAGGAACAGCAAGGCGAGGTGTACAGATCATTGATGATGAGCCACAAGTACAGAGCAGCGGAGGGTGCTGTTCTTCTGGATAATTATAAAACTGTGCATCACTGCCCTCTCAATATGAAGACTGCCATATTCCAAGTCACACATTCTTTACCAATGGAGTAATAGAATTAACAGTATTTAAAAATAATCACATGTAACACTGCAGAGACCTTAAGTGCTAAACTAGTGGCGCCTGTGACCAGAGAATTGGCGTTTTCTACAGTGGTTAACAAAGCAATTACCAATGGCCTTTTTACATATTTTTCTTTAATGAGGAATAATATGCATGTAGAAAAGACCTACTTAAAGGCTTCATTTATATTCTTTTAAATCAGATCATTATTTAATAACTTATATACATTGTTGTTGGAATGGTATACGTTTTTGCAGCTCTTTGTACTTTGTGGTAGATGGAATTGTATCACTTCTAAAATGCAAATTGATTTTTTTTTAAATTAGCAGATATCTGAATTAATATTTTTGCAGGGCCTCTACAAGCCTATAACTCAACTACTTTGATATATTCTGTTCATCTGTATGCCAAGCTGATAAAATACATTGTAAATTACATATTAAATATTTTATCTGCTTTTACAGTTGCAGGTGCAGAAATATGTACATCAGTCTTGTCTGTGATCGTGAAGTGAATAAGTCAGTGAAAGATGCAAGCTTTTCATGTGCACTGTTAAATTGCTCATTCTATTCCCCTACCTGAAAACAGCTTTGTTTTGGGTACATCCATAGCTACAGCAATTCTTTAATCCATTTCTGGCAAGCAGCAGTATTTAGAGCATCCCCTTACTGGAAGAGAATGCATTGAGGTGTTTGACTTGCAGCTAAAACAGTTGGTGCATGCACATACCTTGCCTCTGCAGTTACTTTGTTCTCTCAGAAGATCCCCAGAAAGTCAAAGCAACCTTAGCCCTCATCTGTCTGGTAGCCAGTAAACCAGATGCATGGGAAACTCTTTAGCTGCTCTAATACATTTGTTTCCAAAGACAGCATTATAAACTATTCATGAGCATATTTTTCTTCCCTGTAGGGCTTGAGTGAACAATTAATTGACATTAACTAGAACTTCTAATTTGGAGTCATTAAATTGAAGATGTGAAACTTGCCAGATGTAGCTGTATCTAAGGGGATTCCAGGCAGAATTGAACTTATTCCTAACTTGCTCTTTCTCTTGTAAAGTGTTTTGAAAAAGCCCATTTAAGTTTCAGGGGGAGGGTTTTCAGAAAAAAAAAAAAGTGTGAACTACTGTCACAAAAAAACCACAAGTGGTGGTAGCTGAAATTTCGAAATGTTTTGTGCTCTGACTTTTTTTACTTAAGTTGTCATGCTTGGAAAAACAGTAAAGGTGATGTCTATGACAAAGTAGAATATCCTTGGCCTTCCTTTTTCTGAAAGGTAGATTTAGTATTGCATATGAATGCACTGAATGGTGTGGGTATGTTCTGATAGACAAAAAAGTAGTAGTAATGAATTAGTCTGTGTAAGAAGTGTGCTGTCTTCAATCTGATTTTTATTTTCTCTGAAATACTAGAGGGCTTTGATACAGACTGATCCCGGTGCATTTTCTCCTTTTCTGCCTTAACTGTAGTGTAGATACTTTTTCTTAGACCACCATTGCTGTGTTCTTCTGACGTGTTTGTGTGCATGATGGAGAAAGGTGGTCTGTTCCTGGTAGTGAAGATCAAGTTTCTTGGCTGTGCAGAGCTTTGGTGTGAGCCTAAAATCTGTGATTATATGTGTCAACATGTAGCAACATGTGTTACCTTTCACATATCTAACAACAGTGAGCTCTGACAAAGTTGAAAACCAGATCAGTTTGGTCTAACGCTGGTATCTGACAATCAGCCTTGTGATACAATATATGAAGAGTGAAATTGTGAAGTCTTGATCTTCAAAAATGGAATTGCCTCAGAATAGGAGTTTCAGTTTTTTTTATTCAAATTTAATTTTTTTCCATTTCTGCAAATAAAACTCTGAACAGCCCAACTTCAACTAGACATAGTTGAAGCAGTGTGTAGAATGTATCTTTCTGCCTGCAGCTAAGGAGTTTTTTAGTGTATTGCGTGGTAGGGGCATCCCATGTGACTTCTGTCAATTACAAAACTAATGAAGGCATGTTGATACTAGCTGTTACGTCTCTTATAGAATTAAAACTATTACTACTGAAAACTTAGGTGGGGATAAAGAAGTCTACAATTTTGTAATACTAAAAAGGTTCTGGTTGCTATTAGTGAAATATTTTTAAAATTCTCAAGTTACTTTTCTTACTTAAGCTACAACATAAATATTCACTGGAAACCTTCCTGTCTAAGCTGTGGTTTGGTTGGACTTGATTTATGAAACTTAAAACCTGTGTTTGCAGGGTATCATTGTATAACTGGATGAAAGTATAGCTTTGTGAAGTCAGGGAAGCTGGTTGAAGACTAGACAGAAGTTGAAAACGTGAATTGTTTGGACTAATTTACATAGGACTTCAACTATTCATTGTTAGCAGACAAAATACAACAGTTCCAGGAGAAAGCATCTTTGTCAAAGATACCAAGAGTGTTCTTTGCACTTGATATACAGAAAAGCACAAATAGCTTGGTTTGCTATATTTGAGCAGAATCTTACTCAAGTAACCTGGTAACTAGTATGTGAGTTGTTTTTCAAGAGTCTTGAATCTTGCATTTGATCTAGATTGCCTGGTTTGTACGTCTGAAGGAGAACTGTTTTCTTGTTGCTGATTTCTGTGGCTGTAAACAAGTAAGCTATTTTTCATTCTTCTGAGAAGTGAAAGAGAAGAGGCTGCCTGTCTTTGGGAAGTACCTCTGTTGTGGGGCAGATAGCCAGACACCCACTATAGCATGTGTAAATCAACACTGAGCACACTTCTCAGGGTGTATCTTGACAGAGATTACTCACATACATAATAAAATAAAATGTAACTTTGTACAATACCTTTCTAAAACAACTTTTAAGTGCTTGCTCACAGTCTTGATGCTGCTACTATGAATACATGAGCTGCCTATGAAACTTTATCACTTGCTGAAATAAAATCCAACAAGCCAAAGTCCAACAGCTTTAATGCAGCAGTATGTCTCTCTGCTGGTTGTTATTTATGGACACTGTATACTGCACTTAGACTTTACTTCAGAAGCTATAAAAGATGGGATAGACTGATTCAGACAAGGACACACAAATTCAGATGTATCATATTTGGACATGACTGTAACTAGCTGCAAAGACTGGGAGAGATGGCTTCATCTGGCTAACAGTGATCTTACACATGGTTCCAGAATGGAGGTATCCAATGGCCAGATTAACTGTATGAGATGGTCCTTTGAAGCAGTCAAGTAATTGAGTGTTGCCTTGATTATATTACATGTTTTCCTTCAGTGTTCACACATTTTGTGGACAGGTATTTTTGCATTCTACCACATAGAAAACTGCCTGCAGTTCTTAAAGAACTTAGTGATGAAATTTCTACTTTAGTTTCCAAACAAGATGAAAAAGACTTTGCAAAAAGGTATGAATTATGGAAAGTGGTTAGATCCCAAATGGAGTTCTCAAAAAATGTTGGATGCTCTCAAAATGAAAAATGTAAAAATGCAGGTCAGGAATCTCCATAAGCTGAAAGCAGTTAAGTTATATGAATAGTAGAGTATGGGAATAAGAGTTGGAGCCAGCCACATCCCATTCTTCTGCTTTTAGTGGAATGAAAAGGAGAAGTAGGAAAAAAAAGGAATGTTGGAAAAACTGAGGTTGGTGGTGGTAGGCTGCTGAGTAAGATGCCGAGTTAACCTTTGAGTTGCTAGAGAGTCTCAGGAATGGCAATATCGTACTCAGGACTTCTGATAGCACTACTTGGGTTGTTCCTGCTTCTGTGAAATACTCTTCTTCCTTCATTAAAGAGAATGCAACTAACTTTGAGCAGGCTTTCAGGCACAGTACTAACATGCTTAAAATACTTTAAATTAGAATATGCTAATTTTTTAACTATTTACATTTCACTGACTTTGTTAATCTTAGTCTGCATCCATCATATCCTAGGAGTTTTTCTTGAGAAGTTGGGAAGTACATTATGCCATGAGGATAACTTTCACTGCAGTTGTGTCAAGGAGTTGCAGATGATGACCAAGATCCTTTGCATTACTTGCTGTGCAAGCTCAACAAGGTCCCCAAACTAGCTCACTAGCTCTTAACAGTGCTGGGCACTTGCTTCTGCTATTCTTTGGAGGATTCTGCTCAACACCAGGTTTTTCCCTCCATACAGGCAAGCCTGTGCATCTCAATGATGTAGCTGTCTATTAAATTTAGGCTTTTTCTATCAAATAACAATGTATACTCTTTGCTCCTGCGTTTTTTGGGGCTGTCATTGGCCCCTGTAGTGATCAGAATGAGATGGAGATGATTTTGAGAGTTGTGGAGAATATGGAATGTTTCTTGTCTTGAGATGGCTTGAAAAGTGAGAGTCCATGAAAAAGTCAACATTATGACGAAGTATTATTCTGCCCAAGATAACAGAAAATAGTTTGGCTCAGATAAATTTTTGCTGTAATATGTTCAAAATGATAAATTGCTCTACTTCTAAAGTGAAAACTTATTTCAAGCTGATCTCTCTAGTCTTAATTTTTTTTTAGGTTTACTTAACTTGGCCAAAGCCTTAAATTGAGTGCCATTTATACAGCTGTAAACTAAACTTTGATTGTTGGGAAGAACAGCATACTTGTTCATGTTCCACTGGCCAGTTTAGATCTAAGATTGTGTTTATTCAATACCAGGATGTTAAAATATAGATTTAAACTATTTTTCAGTCTATTTCCACTGCTTTGTGCATTCAGGCAAGTAACATGGATGTGATGCAGCTGCAGGGTCACTGTGAAAAGGGGACTTCTCTTTCTTTTCCTGCTTCTTGGCTGCATTGATCTATGTTGCTAAATTCCTCCTACAGGAAACAGTGCTGTGCAAGAAAGGAAGTGCAGGTTTGCTCCTTGCTTCTCTAGCTCCTGTAGACAGTGATAGGCACTATAGCAGTTATACCCAGTTCCTCTCAGTTGGATAACCCTTTTTTTCCTCAAGTGGAGCTTTTCTTACATCTTGACAAATCATTCTTTTTGTGTATCTAGTCTCACCGATCCCTTCAAAGGATTTTAATACTTTATTGTCATTTACCTAAAAGATGTTTAATTTGAAAGCATTACAAGGAAGGATAATGAGTAGCAATTTTGCAGCAGTCTTCTCTGACAATTTGCCATATCCCATCTCTAAAACAACAAAGAGAGAATATTCAAAGTTTAATAGTGAGTCCTTGCTCTGTATCTGACTCCTGATTCTTGAATATTAGAAGTGACTTATAAGAAATCTCAGTTGAGAGGATTTGAGAGAGCGAGGACTTCCTCATCAGATGCAAATTATTGATATCATGTGACAGATCCAAACTCATGGTTTTTTTGAACTGTTGAAATTGTTAAATTGCAGGTCCTTCTTCAAGTTAACCATCGCTCCATTTTGAAAAGTCAACAAATTTGGGACTTGCAGTGGAAGAGAACAAGTATTTTCTTTTTCAGAATAGGAAACTTTAAACTGACTAATCAGGCC